TATTTTTAACTTTAGGCCTGTTCTTTACAGCTGAACTGGCCGCAGTAATTCACAGTTTATCTTTTTCTTTCATACGTTTAAAGAAGAAAGATAAACTCTGAACTAGCGCAGCCAGCTGTAAAGAACAGGCCTTTTGTTCCTAAAATAAATGATTTTCATCTACTGTCTATTTTTTTTACATTCTCACGCATTGTATGTTTAGATAAATTACACTTTATTTTCTTTTATTTATTATATGTATTTGTTAATATTTTTTAATTTTCAAAATTAGATATTATTATTTTTATAATTCTACACATTTATGTATGCTTATAATATATTATGTATGTTTATATATATATATATAAATATATATATAATTATTTTTGCATACTCTCAATATTAAGTCATATATCCGCTTATATGATTATTATTATTTTTATCGTTTAATTAATATTTTAATTATATTAAAGGTCTAGGCTTAATTATAAGTAACATTATTGCTGATCCTCATTTGAGATGCAGCTCTCCAGAATTTGCTTCTATATGTATGATATTTCATTCATACTTCAATAAAGTTATTATTATGAGAAAATTCAACAAAAAAATCTAAGCACGACTGTACGACGAGAAAGGGTCAACGATCCTCGAAGTACGCAAGAAAAATTCGTTCTACCGTAAAAGGCGAAACCAAATGTTTTATAGGTGTATCCCGCGCGTAAGATATATACGGTCGCATCGGCTGTGTAGCGTGTCGCCGTATCAAAATCGCCGTGCGACAAAGAAGGTGAGATGCGGAGGATATCAGGTTCTCCTCCTACCTCTAATCTTCAGTGAGACGACAAAAAACGTTTTTCTCAACGTTTGAGAAATGTACTCACTTGCCGTATCATCGGGAAGCAAAACGCAGCGAGAACTGTAATTCGCACGGTAAACAAAGCCACGAGTACCACAAACATAATATTCAGACATTTAACAGTAATTGGACATTTTGTGTACACAAAGCTGTGTACTTAAAGCTCATCCGTTATAGATGGAATTAACGCTCGAATATCGATCGTCCTTAAATAGAATCTCTACTTCAAAAATTGCTTGTGAAAAATATAATAGCATTACCGCTTCGAAATTGACCGTAAGGATTAAAAGGATTAAAAAGATTAAAGTATTACGAGAAAATGTATTAATGCATGATAGAAAGCTAATAAAGATAATAATGGAACAAAAATTTCCTTTATTTTTAGAGTGTGCAATTTATTCAGAAACAGTGTTTTTAAATTTGAATATAATCGTCTTCACGCGTCGTGTTTATGAAATCGTAACTACTGCGTGTTTGATAAAATATGTACGGTTGCATCACTATGTCCAACGCAAAGTTGCAGCGACTTCAACCCGCGAATAAGATGACTTGGCAGCTCCATCGAATACATAATATTATGTATAGTTTGCGATAACAAATTGATCGATTGACGTGCCTCATTACGTCATGAGGCGTTATTTACGCAACGCTTTTACGAGGCTGCGAAAAGCAGTTCCGAGTTACATTTTTCTTTACGAGGTCGTCTGCTCGTCGCGCTGATTCGACCGACAGGTCGAATCGGCGACGCGTCGGCAGACGTCGTTCCGTGTCGCATATACGTTCTATTATAGTCCCCGTCTCGCAACGACAGACCGGAAAAAGGGTCTACGGGGATGCATTATGGGCGACGATCTTCGAGAAGTGTTATTCCGGGAGGAGAGTTTTACGAGCGGAATACGAGCCGCATGTAATAAAGACGTCGCGCGCGATCGGGGGGCGTGAGGGTTCGCAGCATCCGAACGTTCGCTCTCCGCGGAGTAGGAATAATCCCGCGATAATTAGACTGCGAGAACTCCAGCTGCGATTAGCGCGACGTGGATTAGTTGCTTCGTGCGTATATTGAAATCCTCCGCGACGGTGGGAAACTTACGCCGGCAGCGAAAACGCTTTCAGCTACGTGGAACTGGACGGTAATACGAGGACAGTAATGCGACGTGAATTCCGGAACCGTGAGAGCCGGTCGCGATGTTCGCATCTTCAAACAGCTCGGGACAGAAGCTATCCCAGAAGTTACAAGAGGAAAATATGATAATTAATAATTATTATATATTGATTATATAATTATGTAATAGTAATTACGTAATAATATAATATGATACGTAATTATGTAATATAATAATTATATATAATAAATAATAATTAGTATGTTATTTTAAGAATTTTGTGGATATTATATTTTTTAATATATTTCTTGTGAAAACTTATATAAAAAATAAAAATCATAGAAAATGTATTTAATTAAAACAAAACCGGCAATTAAATATTTCCTATAAGACAATAGTAAATTTTTTAAACACTTTTTCTGTGGGATTTTAAAAAATAAAAATCTTATAAAAAATATATTTAATACGGCTCCGCAGCCTTCCCTAAAACGACACGGACTTTCGTCGCGCCGGTATTGTTTCATTTTTGCCGCTCGTAAATTGTACTTGGCATTTGTTTCTATTCTTTAAAATTTTATTTGAAAATATATTTAATTAAAAAAAACCTTCGATTATTAATGATACGTATATCAATACTATTTTGTCAACTATTTAGAAGATATATAGTTATTCGTGCATGTCGCAAAAAATTTTACGACAGAATTTAAAACTATACATCATCTCTCTAACTCATTCTAGCACAAAAAAATCATATTAATATTTCATATTTCAGAATCGATTGCGTTAGTATTGGATACCGCTCGCTTTCTCTCGTTGCATACCATGGGAATTGATAGTTGCCATTGTTTTTGCTCTACGGAATGAGAAAGGAGGGGAGGAGGGGTTGATTTAGGATCACCGCCGTACGCGGTACCTTCTCGTTGCATTTCTCAGCGGCATCGCATTGCATCGCATCCGCGCTGTGCCGCGCGGTTAGATAGTCGGCTCTACGAGAGCCATTTAATGCGAGACGAAAGAGAAAGAAAGAGAGAGAGAACGAGAATCCCCGTTTAGTGCCAATGTCAAAACCAACGCAGCATCGCCCACGTGTTCGCGTGTCGTCGGCGAGAGAGAAAGAGAAAGAGAGAGAGAGAGAGGGAGAGAGAGAGAGAGAGAGAGAGAGAGAGAGAGAGAGAGAGAGCGAGAGCAGTCCTCCCCCGTCGACGGCGACTTGTTGCGCGCGAGCGGGCACGTGAGTAATTCCGTCGAAATTGATGAACTCATTACGCTCGTATCGTTCCCTTACATCGTCGGATTAAGCGAGCCGGCCGTAAATCCGCGCGCGGGCATTATTTATGCGATCGGCGGCGCGGAGAGACGCCGGAGGCCCCGCGGCCGTCCCGGACCTTCCCTAAAAGGACGCGGACCTTTCGCCGCGCCGGTATATCGTTTCATTTTCACCGCTCGCTAATTGCATTTCGCGTTCGTTTCTATTTTTCTTTTTTTAGATTTTATTTTCGTTTCTATTACCGAGGGGCTCGCACCGCCGCCAACGCGATTTTTCACGAAAGAATCGAGCGAAGAACGTTGCTTCGATCCCTTGACGCGCGTAATCTTGCTCCACGTTGCCTTAAGGCCCTCCGCTCCACGTACGACGCGAAAATCGTATTTAGGTAGCTTGTCGAATTTATAAAATTCTTTGACAGAGAATTTTATAAATCCTCTCGATTTTCCGAAACTTTCCGTGCTGCGATAAAGTTGAAGTACAGACAGATAAATCAACGAATTATTATCTGTCGATTTTTTTTTTGTAAAACTGCAAAAGTATATTTTCGAGAAACGCGGTATTAATGACTTCAATTATCGATTAATTATTACTCACCTTCGACGGAGCAAATCATTCGCAATTAGATTTGAATATGATAATTCGATTTGAAGAGGGAACGACCTGCTTGTCACGGGAGAGATTTATCTCGGCTCCGTTTAAGTCTTGTTACATTGTGCAACGGCCGTATTTGCATTGGTATGTGCGAAACCTTTTTTTTTTCTCCGTCCGTCGTTTACCCTCCAATGTCATTATGCAGCTCGTAATAACACGCGCACGTTAGTTGTTTCGGTGCATTTACGGTGCAGCTTATTTCGATCGTTGCGTTGATGAATGGGTCGTAACTAGCAATAATGCAATTTAAGGGTAATGAAGATTACGCGTGTGAGAGATGAACCGCATTAATTATGCACACGTCTTTGATAACAAGTAACGAGGTATTATTAGCAATGATAACAAACTATTAAGCGGATTTAACTGCGTTATCAGCGGCAATCAGGCAGTCGTTTCAGCAAAACGTTAATCCTAAATAACGTTCGGAAAACCTGTTTAGGCGAGTAAATCGTCTCAAATGAGCGGACGCTATCAATATTAATACAGATAGGTAAAATTCATTTACGCAAAAGAATCTGCATACTATAATTTGGTTATGAAAAATAAAAAAATTCTTACAGGATAGCGGATGTTCGTAATATAAATTTAAAATTGATCTCGTACCGATCGTAAAATAATTTATATACACATCCACTCAAGTGATATCGACAGCCGACGAATAAAGTCCATTCGATACCCACTGCGAGGAGGAGATTTAAAATCCGGCCGGCGTAAATTACCTTTCATTGCGGCGCGGCGGCGCGGCGTCGCGCCGCGTTGTTACGCTCGCGCCTTTTGCGCGCACGCATCCTTATTACATGGGGCGCGTCGGGAAGCGCGCGTACATCCTCGGCCACGGACGCGGATCGGTGCCCGGGAATGCGTGCAAGATCGACGGCTCGTACTCGAGACCAATAAACGTTGATTTATCGGCGTGGAAATCGAGCGCGGGGTGATTTGCGACCGTGGGCAGCAAACGGGCACTCGGGGCGCTCCGTGAGCCGCCGCGCCGCTCGATCCCGTGCCCCGTAGGGCCCCGGCTGGGGCCCTACTAGGGCCCCGACCGTCGCGCGCGACGCGCCGGGTGGGGAACCACCGTAAGCGCGCGCGGGGCAGGTCCACGGGAATCCTATATAAGAGGATGCGACCGAGAGCTTGCACTCTCACACCCGTTAGCCGACTCTCACCGGGATTATCCTAGGCGAGCGAGAAAAAGAAAAGCCGCGATCGAGGGGCCCGGATCCGCTAGCCACGATCGGAGCGACGGTTCATCGGCGGCCTGATCCAAACCGAGGACGATCATGATATTCGTGAGTGAAATCCTCTCCTGGAATTTCGACAGTTTGAATTGCGCGCCGAACAACTTTCGCGCTCGTCAAATAATTTATAGATTTACGCGTTAGTGAATTAAGTGTAATTTAAAATAGCGATAATTTATATTTACCGTCCCCGTATCTCTCTCTCTCGCCAGAGTTTCACTTACTCTCGTGTCCCCTTTGACCAATTTGTAATTAATCCCGAGGTAGTTTCCAGCATCTTGCTCTTGTGGGCGGTCTCTAATTTAATCCCGTCGTCCACTTCGTGGTACAGGAATAAACTTTTAGCCTTTTACACCGTCTTTGACAAACGAGGACTGAGGTGAAACGAAAGTTTTTACAATTCAATTTACCGCGTATCCGCGGCATGTATAGTAAGAATTTTTCAAAGAGCAACAGAAACCCGACACATTTCCGTATCGATTTTACGAATCATTTTATCATCCGAGTGTATTTTGCGGCGGAATCCATATTAATATGGTAATAATCGCTTCTGCAGTACCATTTCAATGCGAGCAGCGGCCAACTCGCGGTATCTCGCGGTAATAACTATTGATTCGACCGAACCGCGATATAGTTGCGGTCGCTCACTGGCGGTTGAAGGCCTGGATTCGTCGCTCGCAATTTCGAGGAATGTGGTTTTGCTCTGCGGAAAAACATCATAACAAATGCAGTTCGATTGCGCCGGGAAGCCGTTCCGCGTAATCGAGCTTGAGTTTTCGCGATCGATGAGAGTTCATGCTGGTCGAGACAAGAGAGAAGGCGAGGGGAAGGGGTGGAGCAAATCTTTCCTCGTATCCGTGTAACCGTCACGGCTAATGTTACCGCGCGTGTCTCCCTAAATGGCAATATCTCGTGTAGAAAATTACGCCTGCCGCGTAATGACAGTCGCATCTTCGCACGCCCGCGTAGCTGATGCACCATCATTTTAATTAATAAACGTAGCTGCTGGCGGTGACGAGATGTGTTTAAGCATCGCTGTTTGTCTAGTAAAGGTTTTAATAAACTAATGTTGCGTGTTACAGTCTTAATTAAAGCTACACGGAGAGAATTTTTTTTTTATTTACCCTGCAAATCATGTTAATTATGGGACAATATAGTATTTAGGCAAATTTTACTGTGCACTACAATAAGATTTCGCAGTAAAATTTATTGTAGTGCACAGTAAAATTATTTACCTAAATACTATATTGTCTCACAATTAACATGATTTTCAGGGTAAATTTTAAAAGAAAATTCTCTCCGTGTACAGATTTTTTTTCTATTACACAATATATAATAATTAATTGATAATTTCTATCGAAATATAAATGTGAATTAAGTTACTCGATATATAAATACACGGAGAAAATTTCTTTTTAAAATTTACCCTGAAAATTTTGTTAATCGTGGGACAACATAGTATTTCGACAAATTTTACTGTACACTACAATAAATTTGTTATAGTACTTATATATTTAAAAAAATAGTGAAAATCATAGAAAATTCGTCGAAATACTGTGTTGTCCTATGATTAATATAATTTTCAGGGTAAATTTTAAAATAAAATTCTCTCCGCGTACCTTTAAATTAAGAGATGGTACATTTTTCTTTATCATAAATTTGAGATAATAAGTGAGATTGAATAAAATTAAGATGATTATCAACGAGACGATTTCATAAATAATCGTGTTTCACGGTGTGTACTTGTCGCTGATCAATATAAAAATTTACTATCTTTTAATGTCTTTAACGAATTTAATTTAACTGTCTTTCACGAATATTGATTAGCTTCACCAATGACAATTTTTCGCGGGCTTATCGTATTTTCGGCTAAAGTTGATGTCTGCTGATAATAATTTGTTAATACGCCGATAATAATTCGATAATGTTATAGTTATCGCTTGTCATATTCTTCTGTCTGCAGACAATTTTGTGCAGCCTCGTCATCGGACGATCCATCGCTTTGCCGCTCTCCAATGTTTGGCTGAGTCCGATACCGGCCCTTTCGCCATTAAGGCAGTACCACATACAAGACGGTTCGGGATCTTACCAGTACTCCTTCACCGGGCCGCATCACGCCAAAGCGGAAACTACCTTGAACGGCGTCACACAGGGTGGTGAGTTTTTTTCTCTTTAATTTCACACATTTCTTGGCGTTTTGATAAGAGAGCTCGTCATCGATAAAGACCAATCACGCGGAGCTCGAATGCTGTTATACGTAAACGTAAAGCGAAATTTTTGTCTCCAATGGACGACAATGCCTGTCACGATTCGTGATCTAATGCGCGTGCCGCAAGTGCATAAATGGAATGCATTCTTTTGAAATGTGTTACAAGAGGTGCATTACCGGCCTACGTTCGCGAGTGAATCTTTCGCTAATGCTCGCCGGCATGACGTAAGAAAGACGCCCATACGCCGCATATGCTAGTCCCTGCAAATTTCCTCGGATGACAATACGCGGTTGCGCGTTAGGGCTTCTCTCTCTCTCTCTCTCTCTCTCTCTCTCTCTCTCTCTCTCTCTTTCTCTCGATTGCAATGTGATGACTCACGATACGCGCACGACGCATAATGTAACGCGCGCGAAATTGTATGAATGTATACGTAATCACCGAAAGCAGGATCTATGTAATTAATGCTATTTTATTAATCAATAGCCACAATAATTACGGCGAATAACATATAGTCTAATAAACGTATGCAACAATTTATATTGTAAATACGTTCCTCCGCGCGAACAAGCGTCCCCCCCCCTTCTCCAGATAACATAATGTGTACCGTTATCGAGGAGTATATCGTTTGTGCCCTCAGGCTATTCCTACATTGACGCAAATGGAATTTTGCAAACGGTCTCGTATACGGCGGACGATAAGAACGGATTTAGAGTCAGCGCGAGCAATCTGCCGCAACCGCCCAGGGATGATCTGCCGCAAACTGTACAGGACACGCCGGAAGTGGCCGCGGCGAAGAGAAATCATCTCGAGGAGTTGCAGAAGTCGCATCAGGCCAATTGGCAGGATCAGAATCTTCTGTCGTACAAAATCCTGCCGTCGTACTTTAGCTTCGCCCAAATCCAGCCGGACGGCAACAGCAAAGCCGAGCTGAATTTAAAGGCGCAGGAAGTAGAGGTGTGTAAGTTGCGCGGACAGCTCAATCGAAGTTTGCCCGAACAAGAGGAATGAGATAAAAAGGAAAAATTACGTGTTTTCTTATATAATACGAAAAGTTTACAGCACCGCGATCGCTGTGGAATTTTTTTTGCTTAATAAGAGAAAGTTTCAATAAAAGTAATCCACAAAATATTTCTATCCTAAATATAAAATAAATCGATAAAATATTTCTATCGTAAATATAAAATAAATAATAAAATATATACATATATATAATTTTTTAATCTTATTTTTTAACAATACATTTTGTTCTACTAATCGCTAAAAATATAACTTGTAAATAATAGAATAGTTAAAAAAATATATGTATATATTGCTTACTTAATTTACATAAATTAATTTTGTATGCAAAATGACATTTAAAACAGCATTTCATAATTGACGTTGCAAATAAATTCATATCTATTCATTAAAATAACATTAAAATAAAATTCGAGTAATTTGTTTACTCGATTCTTCTTTTTTTAGGATGCCAACAATCCGTTCTTATTGCCAAGATCAGAGGCAGAGAGAATCAACGTTCCCAAGCCGGATCCGAGTCTCTCGAAGGTAACGCCCACGTCTTCGGGGCCCACCACCACCATCGTCTCGTCATTATCAACTCCGACGTCATTAAGGGAGAACACGCTTCTCAAGGATGACGACCGGACGTCTAATCAGAATGCCTTGCATCCGGGGAGGCTGATGCCGCTCGCGAATATCCAAAAACGATTAGCCCTACCCGCGCCCTACGTACTTCCGGTGCTGCCTTACAGATTCCTTCACAGCTCGCTGCATCATACCCAGGACTCTCTGGGCCAATACGATTACAGCTACACCGGGGACTCGAGCGCGAAAACCGAATCCAGGTCGCTCGACGGTACCACCAGGGGAGCATACAGTTACATCGATCCCAACGGGATTCTTCAGCAGGTGCATTACATCGCCGATCACAATGGATTCAGAGTCATGGCAACTAATCTGCCCGAAGCGAAGTGATAATCATGTCGGCGCCACAGAAAATGTCCCGTGGGGGCGTAGAAGCGTTCGTCTTCCAAGCGACATGTCATGTATCAAACATTAATTCTGTACACAATTTCCTTTCCTAAATTTCGGATTTGTCAGCGGATCTCAATCTCGCGGAAAAATAAAGAATAAAACATACCGTTGAGTCATTAGGAAAAATAAAGAATAAAATATATCGTTGAGTCATCTGCAGGCTTCCTGAACGAAATATGATTTTGTAACTTCCAATCAAGAAATTCATATTTCAATTGAGAGATAAAAAAAGCGAAAAGATAAAATAATAAACTCATATCGTGTATTTATTTAATGGCTCTTGATTGCTAAAGATAATTAATCGCAACAATCAAGAAGCACAAGAAGAAGATATAGCAGGAAAATTCCATTCAAATGTATCGTCTCGCGTAATAAGTATCGGTGTCGGGGATTTGAGGAAACATTACGCGAATGCTTCTCGAGTTTGTTCAACGATTGTTCCCGCGAAAACGCGGAAGAACGGACTTGATTCGTATTCGAGTATCTTCCTAACTTTATTATTATTTTTTTTTAATGTTAAGCTTATTTTGCGCGATCGCGATCGCGCGACCAGGAAAATTATTTCACGTTCCGTAAACATCCTCTTTTATTATCTTTATTATCTTATGATTGGAAGGCGTTAATGATGTCATGTTTTCAAGATTGTTAGTAGATTGCACTTTTATTGATTATAACATAAATACAGATGAAAAATGCAATCTCTACTGTTGTCGTTACCCTCCTTCTCTTCTTTAATCTCTCTCACCCTTCTGCGTAAAATAAATGAATGAAATAAATAACTGCAACATATTTGTACATGTATACTTGTGATTTAATGTGTGCAATATTTTCAAATATTTATTTTATTCAAAATGTAATTTTTTTTCTTGGGATAAAAAAGTTATTTTATTAGAAAAATTTTCACCACTAATAAATTTTAATGAATTTGATAGATTAGGCATTTCCATGTTTTCTCTTTAATATCTCGTATTTTCGAATTTCAAATTAACTATATTTATAAGGTATATTAATGGACTTTTAGACATGCGTGCAGAAATTACGTTTATATAGAGACACGATTCAGTCATGTTCCAGGGATGAATTAACGAAATATCAAGCTTCAGTATTTCTACCGAGAAAGGATTGAAAAATACACTCGAATTTGAGGAACAACCCTTGTGCGTTTTTTGTTCAACCGAAGCGCGTCGTGAAAGCGGAAGCGGGCGCGGCTGAATGCGACATTTGAAACGCCGTGTCCAAAGCGAGACATAAACGCAGTCTGAATAGCGACAGATGAACTTTATCCGCGCACAATTATGTGCGCTTGAGTCTGAGAGGCGCGTGATATATCGAGACGAGGAGAGATGTATTAATGTAGATAATGCGGCACGCAGATTATTTATGATGGTATAAAAACCTCGACTCTGGTCATTACGTCAGCGTCGGGGGTTACGCCGAATCGCCGATATCGGTACGGGCCGCTCTGATAAGAAGATCTCGCCGCGGAAGAGACGCGGCGAAACAGAATTAGGACGGACAGTCCGTATCAACCGACGGACTGCGTAACGACGCCTCTTTCTTCTCTGTGTTTGCGTTCAATGTCGCCCGAACCCTCGCGTCGGCGCGCGCGCGCGTGCGGAACACCGTCGGCGAGCGCCGTTTGTTTTTGCGAAGTGTTTTAGGTGCAGGCCAAAGTGATCGCAAGCGTGTGAATTTTTCCCGTGAATGCACAATGGCTTTAATTGCGCAGAGCGACGAGAGATCGTCGAGCGAGCGACCGGCGTCGAAATGCGCGCAATATGTGGGCGTGCTTGTGGGTGAGTTTCGTAGGTGGGAGCGCTTAATCCTCGCGCGAACTCGCGAGGATATCGAGATGCGGCTGCATTTGCACATGAATATTTAATAGACGCGAGAGAATTGATAAAAAAAAAAAAACAATCTGGCGAATCCAGGGCGCGTGTGCTTAGGGGACAGATAGATTTTTAACGGCCATAAAATTGTGTAAATCCGCCTTTATCCTCACCGTAGCCTCTTTGATGAGAGGTTCGAAGCGACTTTGCGGGGAAAAAAAAGCTCGATTCATCACGCGCGATTGCCGCATTAATTCTTCGCGTCGGTTAATTCAATCGAAAGTTCGTCTCACGATAGTTAAAAAACTCTCTCTCGCGATAGACATCTCTTGACTCTGTAATTTAACTTCGCGTTACCGTCGTCGCGCTGCCGCGCGCCCATGGGATGTCTCTAAGCGGGGGAACATCGAGGAGTAGCGCGACGAGAAAGAATTCTCGAGGCGGAACGTTATCGAAGATAAAATATTTCCCCGAGATAGACCAAATAGAATATTCCTCAGGAGAGAATTTCACGAGATGAAATGCGCCTGACATTTACTTTCTGTTACCGCTTATAGCGACACTCGCCGCGTTCTCGATCGGCACGTATTTGTCATGGACGTCGTCCGCCTTGCCACTTTACAACGCGAACGACACGCTGCCTGTCAGCGATCAGGAGGGCTCCTGGATTTCCTGCCTGGTACCCCTCGGCGCCATTCCGACCGCCATCCCGGCGGGAATGCTGGCGGATAGGTTTGGCCGGAAGAAGACGATTTGGGCGACGACCGTGCCCTTATTTTTCTGCTGGTACATTATCGGATTCGCGCGGAGTAAGATATGGTAAGAAGGTACATTTTAGATCTACGGCGTGGCTTTGGCATTTCATTCGCAATTTCGTATAGGATTATTTATGCCAATAACCATGTAGCTCCGTATTTGGAGCTATATTTCATCGAAAAGGATTTAAAAAATACAAAAGGATTGGAAAAGCTGCTTCATGTAAAAATAGTGACGTATCTTTTTCGCTATGTTATATATACAAAAGTCCTCAAAAATTTCATGTGTTACGTTAAAATGTAATAATAAAATAATATACATCAAAATCTTACTTTTAGCGGTTTTTATCGTTAATTTACGAGATATAATTAGCAGAAGAAATTAGTAATTCTAAACAATTAGTAAACGAAATCTTGCAGTCCTCGAAGTTCACCGTTCGTCGCGCGTACGTTTTATTCATCAATTTTCCTTGGCTGCGTTCCCAGTCAGCGATTTTATTGTACGGTTTTTTTACGATTTTTCTACTTACATTACGTAACCGAGTTTTTCCGTCAAAAGGATTTTCCTGGCTCGGTTTGTTGCGGGGGCAGCATGCGGCGCAGCATCCGTCGTTGTTCCCATGTTCGCTTCTGAGATTGCCGAGCAGAGCATTAGGGGCATGCTTGGCACCCTTTTTCAATTGCAGATTACCGCCGGAATTCTCTTCGCATATGCTACTGGTAAAAAAGCATTTCACTCTTTTATTAACACTGAATAATTTTATAGCATGTGCCATACCGTTGATTATCGTGCAACAAAACTTACGATTAAAATCGAGAAGTATTATACATTAATTAAGATCTCGAATGTATATTATTATATGATCTCATCACATCAACGGCTGATATAACTTGACTAAACTGATATAAAGTAATTAATGTTAATAAATAAAGAAGTTTCACAAAAATTTATTAATTAAACGTCTTCTTTTCCCAATTATAATTTTCAATATACGAACGTAGCTTTTCATTTGACATACAAACGTATATGCAACGTATGTATGCCAGATATCTACTTATAATGACAGAGGAAGATATCATTATAAAGGGCTTGACATTACTGCACACATGGTTTGATGGCGTTTGCAATGATAGATAAAATTCAAGTCGCGAGAGTTCTAGGGCACGTTCTGCGCAACAACTTTCCTGAAATGATAAGCGGTTACATTTACGTTTGCAGCTTTTACTGATAGCTTGCACGTCATCGCGATACTTTGTTCCATGGCGCCCGCCTTGCTTTTGATCTCCTTCCCGTTCATACCGGAATCACCGGCGTGGCTGGTCATGCAGGGTCGGAAGAACGAGGCGAATGACGTGCTAAAACACTTCAGGGGAGTTCACTATAGCACCGAGACGGAATTGGCCAGTCTCGAGCTTCAAGCCACGGAAATGCGACAGGCGAGGCCCAATATTTTGGAATTGAAAAATTATCGGAGAGCGATCTACATCACACTCGGTAAAATACATAACGTAATTATTAAATAGTTGAATTAAATCGATTATTAAATACTTTTATTACGATAATTAATTATTTTATTATTTTTAACGAATTTATCTGTATTTTTTATATATCACACACACACACACACACACACACACACACACACACACACACATGCGCGCGCGCATATTATGTCAAATTATATTAGCGCTTTAATTTGATATTTAATTATTTTTCCAGGTCTAATGTTTTTCCAACAACTCTCCGGCGTCAACTCGCTGATATTCTACGCGAAGAGGATCTTTGACGATGCGGGCTCAACTCTGAGCTCGTCCACATCGTCGGTGATCATCGGCGTCGTACAAGTGATTGCCACCTATTTTTCGACGATTATGATTGAGCGCGCCGGTAGAAAGCTATTATTGTTCATCAGCGCGTCAGTGATGGCCGTTTGCATGTTCACGTTGTCGGGGTATTTTCGTTTTCAGGTAAAAAATTTATTAATTAATCCAATATTAACCAAATTTTAATTGTGAATCTGTAATTCTCTAAATAATTGAAAAATATTAACATAACTCATTAATAATTATTAAACAGATGACAAAGGCAGTTAAGAGTCCCACGCAGTTCTTGGTGCGTATATATTCTTGGTTTATTCCAATATTCTTTACATTAAATCCTTCGCGAAGGATTTAATGTAAAGAATATTGGAATAAAC